AAAAGTTGCAAAAGCATTGAATCAAGCAGTGCACCTTGTTGTCCTGGGTAGGCTCGACGAGCGAGCCGACGAAGTTCCGTGGCATACCCGTGCTGAGTTTCACTCGCCAGCTTCACTCGCTGGCGAAGACTGGCCTCGTGCATCAATGCTTGCTGGGGCGGCTCAAGACGGACATGCAGAGCCTCGACTGCGTCGGAAAAGTTTATGTCACGCGTGTGAGTTAGAATTTCGGTGAACATCTCATGAGCTGTACCAACAAGGCGAGCAGGTAGTAGCCGTAGCTTTTGGTCGTCGTCGTACCCACTCAGCTCGCATGTGTGGACGAAATGCCTCATGTACGTGGTGAAATCTTGGCCTGGCTGATTTCCGAATGTCTCAGGAAGCAAGACTGGCTTCGGCAGTGGACGTGCATGTGGTGTGTCTGTGTCCGGCAAACGAAAACGATGGGACAACCCTTGTACCGGCGAACTCTCGCGCTCTTCAGCAATGCTCATGTCACAGCCAGCTTCAGCGAAGCTACGCTCTAGCTTTTCTTGTCTCTTGGATTTCGCTGAACGGCCCATTGTGAAAAAAAAAATTGTTTTTGTATTTTTGAATTTTCGAAAAAAAATATTATCTGCAAAAATTTCCCGTGGACTCGATCGACGCCTCGATCAACTATCGATCTAATTCTAAATCTATTACGTAACCTATCGTGCGTAGCGACAAACAACTAAATTTGGCAGAGACAATTCCAAATAGGCAACTACTCTACGGACACAGTGTAGCTAGACTCTACTACCCAGCTAGCAGATATCCTAACAAGACACTAGACAGCAGCCAGTATGCACAAAACACGGACACAGAAAATGTTACGAAAATGTTTGGCCAGACAGGTTGGCGCCAATGCTTGACCTATGGACTGTAAACCATGGTAAACAATGCATGCAACAAGAAAACGACGAGCAGAAAGAAACACAATGCAGATAGGAAAATATTGACGAAGAGAGTGGATGAGGATATGGTTTCACTTGCGTGGGCCTTCGTGGTTCTTCATAGTCGGCGATCTCCGAAGGCGTACATACTCCGCCAGCGATGTAGTGGTGGACGTTTTCCGCTGCCACCAGTGTTAGCTGCTCCCGGCTAATGATGCCCCCTCACACCGGAACACAGGGGTTTTATATGATTGGATAATTTATAGAAGTATTCGAGAAGAGTGTAGACAAGGAGAACAGGACAACGACAACTCAAGACTAGACTACAACAGAACTGGAGCATGCGCTCTTCTATGTGAGTGCTCATTGCCAAGGGGAACGAGCGGGAAATACAAATAGTGAGTATTCAGGTCGTAGCATACATACACCTATTACACATGCACAGGAGCAATTTTGCAATATTATGATGCGCAATTTGACACGATCTGCGATGCTGCGTGCGATGTGCCCTGCTGTCATGATAGTGACAGTCACCGCGGTATGTTTTGTCAACGTCGCCCATGCACTCTTCTGTCAAGTCCAAAGTGCTCACATATTTGGCAATGTTTTTGCAGTGATTAACTTTTATCCTAGTTATGTCACGGGTAACTTTAATGAAGTACCCGCAGGCCGTGTCGATCTGCACATCGTCCACTCTCTCATGTACTTGGCCTGCTTTGTCTGTGTATCCATTTCATGTGCGATCCACAAAATCGACTAGACAGTGGGTGCAATACGCTCTCTACCTGAAGACGTTCTTCTGGCGACATCTCGCCATGTACTTGGCCTGGCTTTGTCTGTGTATCCATTTCATGTTCAATCACCTAAATCTCAATGCACTACAGAGACTAGACAGTGGGTGCAATACGCTCTCTATCTGAAGACGTGAACCATTACATTTTTTGGAAAAGTTATACGTACACCTGAAGCGTAATGAAGTACAGTCGACCTACCCTTATAACGATAACCTCTATAACGATATTACCCTTATAACGATATTTTTCTGCCAAACAAAATCACTCCATTGACTCGTGTATACAATACCTTACCTCTATAACAATATTGCTATAACGATATTACCCCTATAACGATATAAAATGGGCTGACCAATCGACATTTTCCATTTTATAACAATATTTAGCAGGGATTACGTAGAGCCCACTATCCAGGTAGGGCAAGCTTCACTTGATAAGTCGCTGGGACATGACAAAATGCAATGGGGGCACCAGTGGGCACCTTGCTATGTACATCATGTGCATGTACGACAGGTTTTGATGCTATGAAGAGCGTAAAAAAATGAACAAAATCCATGTATTATGACGTATGTGTATGGAATGAACCAGTTACCCCTATAACAATATTACCCTTATAACAATATTTCTTGGTCTGACGCAAATATCGTTATAAGGGTAGGTCGACTGTACAGGAATAGAGAGAGTGACTACAATACGCTCTCGACCTGATATAGTGATAACGTGAGTACAAGACACTCTCCACCTGATAACGTGTTAGAAGGTAACATGTCTACAGTCCCACCGTACCCTTCCGACACGACTGTGGACCATTAAATTTTTTTGAGAAGTTATACGTACACCTTAAACGTAATGAAGTACAGGAATAGAGAGAGTGACTACAATACGCTCTCGACCCGATAACGTGAGCACAAGACACTCTCCACCTGATAACGTGTTAGTAGAAGGTAACAGGTCTACAGTCCCACCGTACCCTTCATCATTCCTCATTCACCATCGCGCGATACCCTGGCACACACTGGCAACATATCAATGGGGTGCCTTACCGTCGTCTAGAGGAGACGTCTTCGCAGCAATATTTTCCCTCCTGCGCATTCAGTCGCCGACGCGACAGCGTTCACGGGACCGTTCCAGTTGCGGAAGACATTCGATTCATCGGGCCAATTCAGAAACAGGGCCGTGGACACACAGGGGGCAGAGGAGAGACATTGTTAGTGGACAAGAAATATGCAGTGGCAAGTGGCGAGTGCCGCATGGGTGTCAAGTTGTCATGCACAATTCAGCTATTACTTACGGTCCAGCTAGTCCTGCCATTGCTCGCTCGTCCTGGTTCCTCCTCGTTCGTCTTCCTGCACGTCTGCACTTCTCCTTCCCCACCGTTGGCTTTGCGGTACGGGGGTGCCGGAAGGAATGCCCACCATGTATCCATGTACATGAAGTCCCACCATGACTCTCCATGTACATGTCCACGGCCACGTCAGCAGTTTGTATAGTACCGGAAGGAGTTCCCACGATGTCTCCAAAGGCCTAGAGCGGACGTCTTTGCAGCAATTCTTTTCGCCCTGCGCATTCAGTTCGCCTACGATGTCTCCAAAGGCAAAGGCCTAGAGCCTAGTACTTAGTAGAGGGGACGTCTTTGCAGCAATTCTTAGTACCGGAAGGAGTTCCCACGATGTCTCCAAAGGCCTAGAGCGGACGTCTTTGCAGCAATTCTTTTCGCCCTGCGCATTCAGTTCGCCTACGATGTCTCCAAAGGCAAAGGCCTAGAGCCTAGTACTTAGTAGAGGGGACGTCTTTGCAGCAATTCTTTTCACCCTATACTATAGTACCCTGCACATTCACTCCGCCGACACGACAGCGTTTACGGGGCCGTTCCAGGTGCAAAAGGTCCACGTCAGCAGTTCTCAACTATTTCGCGTACGGGATAGTCGCCGCGACAGCATTTAAGGGGTCGTTCCAGGTGCAAAAGGTATCCATCAATGGCACTTTGCAGTATGGGGTACGGAAAAGGGGCCTCCTCGTTCGACTTCGTCGACTTCTGCAGTTCTCCTTCCCGTCAGGGGTACCGAAAGGGGCCTCCTCGCAGTTGTCCTTGCCGTCAGGTCCACGTCATGCTGTAGTTCTCAACTATTTCGCGTACGGGATAGTCGTCTTTGTCGTACGCGACATCGGCGTTTACCGAGTGGCATTGGCACAAAGCAGACCGTTGACGGGGTCACGTGTCAAAAAAGTATCAACAAAGTGTCGACTACGTGTCGACCACGTGTATAGCGGTACACTCAGCGGTACACTAATTCTCGTGCCATTCTCGTGTCACAAAACTGGAACATCGAGTACCAGTATGGAAAGGCTTCAGACAGGAAGCCTTTCCAATGTATGCAGTGCAGGTGTAAAGGCAAGATGTTAAGCATCGGTGGCCAAACAACCAGTCACTGCCTTCTTTAAGTGGGCCGGTGACGTGGAACCTCTGATCGCACGGGGTTCTAGCTTGCCATCTTGTTTACTTAGCAACACCGGACATACCACTGCACCACTGCATGTTCCTAAGTGATACCGTGTGATAGTACTTGAAGCAACTCAGTGCATACCTATGCATGTACCTGTACAATGTTGCTCCATGAAATCCGATTGCGTGAATGAAGTCTGCACCCTTCACGAGCTCACATCCCAGTGTTTTCAGGTCTGGGTCTGCACAGCGCCCGGTGTGGCATTCACTGGCTTGATCGGATTCCATTGCCGGAGCAGTACTGCACGGATACTTGTGAAGCCAGTGTTGTATTGTGACACTGCCACTCTTCCAGCACCGGCCATGCAGTATGCACATGCATAACCCTTGTACCATTCTCCCACCCATACCCTACCGCTCTATACAGTAAAACCGGTCAAGGCGACCATTCGGATAAGGCAACCAACTGTCCAAGGGGACCATTACCACCAGGACCACGTGAAGGGTTGTCAATTTCAGTCACATGACCCTGGTTTAAAGGAGATCACCTGTACACAGCGACCACATTTTGAAGGTCCCTTGAGCGGTCGCCCTAGACAGGTTTCTCTGTATATCGCATATGCACTCCCTATCAGAGCCGCGTGTATCTTGATCGAAGGATTTCAATAAGCATAGTACCGGTTCTTGATCTCTCTGCATTCTGTCCACACTGAACTTTTGTTTGCCCAACAAAGAAGACATAGTGGGTTGCTCTGATTAACGGTATCGCTGTTTGTTTGGTTGCCCAACGTAGTAGACAGAGTGGGCTGCTCGGAACCGTATCGCTTTTTGTTTGTTTGCCAAACGTAGGAGACATACTGGGGCGTTCTCATGAATCGTATCATTGACTGTCTGCATGCCATGGCGGTGGAGGAAGCAGCAGCAGAGAGCACTGTTGCAGCTAGCAATGGTACACCCATGGAAGAAGAACCAGCCATTGAACTCGGCCGAGGCATCAAAGTCAACCTGCTGGGCTGGAGCAAGTGTACTAAGCCGGTGGTGATACGCTGGCGCATTTGCCTAACCATGGCCAGGTGCTTCTGGCACCATTCCACCATCGGCCAGCTGTCTGGCTTGCCAGAGTAAGTGCATGTGTGTGTGTGTGCGTGCATGTGTGTGTGCGACTCTGCGTACATGTGTGTGTGCGACTCTGCGTACATGTGTGTGTACATGTGTGCATGCATGTGTGTGTGTGTGTGTGTGTGTGTGTGTGTGTGTGTGTGTGTGTGTGTGTGTGCGCGCGCGCGCGTGTATGTGTATGTGTGTGTATATCTGTAGGTATGCGTGTACATGTACGTGCGTGTGTATGTGTGTGCGTACGTGTGCGCACATGCATGCATGGATTAAACATTGAATTGCATTGTGCGGCAAAAAGCTGTATGTTTGGCTAGACAGTGTGTCACTTGTGACACTTTTTTGCATCTGCTAACGTCCGGTACCTACCTGTTCGCCTTGCACTTGCGTAATCTGGCCGTGTACTGTAGCGTTGTGAGACATCGGCTGAAGCCCGTTGTCAAGACTGAGCGCCAGTTCCTGTTCGTGCTGCAAATGCTCGGACCCAGCTTGCAGCGTATGAACGAAGAGAGAACCCGCTGCTTGATAGACGTAAGTGGAGTGTTGTTTCCGAGTGCTGTTTCAGTGCTGTTTCGGTGTTGTTTCAGTGCTGTTTTAGTGCTGTTTTAGCGCTGTTGGTTTGTGAATTTCTATTCTTCGGTGCTTCTCATCTTAGTACTCATGTAATGTTATACAATTATTAGTGCTGTGCACGGGTAGTCGGGTATCCGTGCTACCCGTGAGGACCTCGGGTAGACGGGTACAGAATAGTACCCGAAGACCCGAAGTCGCAGATGACATCATGTACAGGGCACGTGTACGAATTCATGTAATACTCCGCATCGCTACCCAGTGTGTAAGGGAAGGGTGCATTGTGGTGTTACCATGGAAACATTACCCGATCGGGTACCCGTGCTACCCGTGGAAAACTACCCGAACCCGATACCCGAAGAAAATTCTTCCCGACTCAGCCCTATATACAATCATGGCCAACGAAATCATACTCACGAGTCAATAAAAGCAGCTCCCCGCGATTTTGATTATACCGTGCACGGTTTCAAAACCCATGCGAAAGCAGCATGGGCCACGTGAGCCACGACCATGCTGCTTTCGCATGGGTCGGATGTCTACGTCCGCCGCAACTGTATGTAACCATGGGTATGTAACCATGGGTATGTAACCATGGGTATGTGACCATGGGTATGTAACCATGGGTATGTAACCATGGGTATGTAACCATGGGAATGTAACTATGGGTATGTAACCATAGGTATGTGACCATGGGTATGTGACCATGGGTATGTGACCATGGGTATGTAACCATGGGTATGTAACCATGGGTATGCAACCATGGGTATGTAACCATGGGTATGTAACCATGGGTATGTAACCATGGGTATGTAACCATGGTATGTGACCATGGGTATGTGACCGTGGGTATGTAACCGTGGGTATGTAACCGTGGGTATGTAACCGTGGGTATGTAACCGTGGGCATGTAACCATGGGCATGTAACCATGGGCATGTAACCATGGTCATGTAACCATGGGCATGTAACCATGGGCATGTAACCATGGGTATGTAACCATGGGTATGTAACCAACAACTGTCAGGCATTCAGTTTGTGTGGCACTGTACGGGTGTATGCTGTAGGCCCAGACAGATTCTGCTCCGATCGTCTCGATATTTTGCCGCAAAATGTTGCTGCGAAATATTCGATATTTTGCCGAGCCTGGCACAAGAAACTCGATATTTTGCTCCATTTTGCTCAGAAAAAAAAACCTGTGTGTATATCCACTTCCCGTACGTTTCATAAAAATCGCAGGGTCGGTTTCTCAACACGAGTTTCCACGCACGTGTCCTTGAGTTCTTCCAAAATCATGTCGATCCACAGTGAATCCCAGTGATATTTCGGTGACATGATCTCGTCCTGGGCAGTGTGTGTCCTGCTGAACAAGTAAGAAACAAGGAAATCCAAGTATCAGGCATCGATTTTACCCAACATCTCGATATTTTGCTCCGATTTTGCCGGCAATTTCCGCTCTTTCAATTCTTCGATATTTTGCCGGAAGAATTGCCGGCAGGATCTGTCTAGGCCTAGTCTGCTGCTCTGCTGCTGTAGTAGAAATGCTGCTCGATGAAATCAGATCAAATGCGTCGACCGTACGCCCTGCACCAGTGAACATCATCACAGTGTTCTCAGGTCCAGGACTTCACAGAGCCCGACGTGGCATTTTAAAACTCGCGTGATTGGATTCCATTGAACCTGTGATTTTGCAATAAACGTGCAAAGCACTCAATCTCCGATGTGCCATGCACTCAGTCTCCGATTTACAATTCACTCAATCTCCATTGTACCGGTGCACTCAATATCCATTGTAGCGGTGCACTCAATATCCATTGTACCGATGCACTCAATATCCATTGTAGCACAATGTAGCGGTGATATGCTTGTGGATGTGTTGATTGTGTAGCTTGTACAGGAGCTGCACAGGATGCTGCTGACAGTGGATAAACAGTGCAAGCACCTGGACTATCTCGACATGTTCTGTGACTATCTGTAAGCACATGGTCGGCTGAACTGTGTGTATGTGTGTATGTGTGTGTATGTGTGTGTGTGTATGTATGTGTGTGTGTGTGTGTGTGTGTGTGTGTGTGTGTGTGTGTGTGTGTGTGTGTATGTGTATGTGTGTGTGTGTCTGCATATGCAAGTGAGTGTGTGTGTGTGTGTATGTGTGTTTGGTCTTGTGTGTGTGTGTGTGTGCACACGTGCACGTGTGTGTGTGCGTATGTGTGTGGGGGCGTGCGTGCGTGCGTGCATGCGTGTGTGTGTGTGTGTGTGTGTGTGTGTGTGTGTGTGTGTGTGTGTGTGTGTAGAGAGAGTTTCATTTATTCGAGAGTCCTTGCATTCATTCGTCGGCTGCTCTGAGTGTAGTTCTGTCTCGTAAAATTCTCGTCGCATAATGCAAAAGCTCTCTATTGGTAACGAGGTGGCACTACTACATGTACATAGTCATTCTGTGTACTTGAGCTCATGTTGTGCTGCCTGACCACTGCAAGAACAGGAATATCCAGTGTACCGTATGCCTTTAGGATGTGTACGTGTCCAGTGTCCACTCAAGCATTGAGCGTGCAATGTACTTCAGAGTACTGTACACTACTACAATACATGATACGTGTAGTCAGGCGTTTTAGCCTGATCCGACGACGATGGGCTCTTCCGATTACTCTCATGTTCACAATATCGTACGTCCCACGTCTCACGCCGCACTCAGAAGACCGTGTTGTTGCTCTTACTTCACGGAGAGTCTCAAGAAGAAGGCCAGAAGAAAAGACAAGAATGTGTACAACATGCGCATGCGTGCTGTGACGCAACCTGCGCAGTCCGCGCGCAGTCCTTGCGGACACAGCGCCGAAAGGAGACCTTGTAGAGGTCACAGAATACACAGGCCAAAAGGGTACCTCGTAGAGGTCACAGAATACACAGGCCAAAAGGGTACCTCGTAGAGGTTACGGACAACATACATGTACTTCCTGTCTACTCATGATTACCACCTATACCGCCTGTTTTCCTGCCACTTTCTCTGTTGTCCTTTCTAGCACCTGTGTGTTTGTGTGTGTGTGTGGGGGGGGGGGGGGGTGCACGTGTGTGTATATGTGTGTGTGTGTGTGTGTTATGTGTGTGTGTGTGTGTGTGTTTACATCTGCGCGCATGTACGTACACATGTGTGTATCAGGTACCATCTGAAGTACATGTATGTCGGCGAACATAGTAAGGAGAAGTTGGAGGAAGTGTTCAACAGTCTTCGTCCTTCTATCCAGGCGCGCCTTCGCTTCATGATGAACGCGAGCCGCTGATTCTAACGCAGGACACGCCGTAGGTACCAGACTTGGAGCAGTGTGCGTGCGAATGCAGGTGTGTGTGTGTGTGTGTGTGTGTGTGTGTGTGTATGTGCACATGCAGGTGTGTGTGTGTGTGTGTGTGTGTGTGTGTGTGTTTGTTTGTGTGTGTGTGCATATGCAGGTGTGTGTATGTGTGTGTGTGTGCGTGCATGCGTGCGTGCGTGTGTGCGCACGCGCGTGTGTGCGGTACTTGTCATGCTAGCCGCCGAGCATTCAAGGTCACACCGCAGCAGCAGCACAAGTGCACGGCTACAGAAGTAAACTAAGTCACGGAGCAGTGTACAGTAATTGCCTGTGCTCAAAGCATGCCGTGCACTTTCCGTTCCTGTCAAGCTAGAACAATTCCTGACGTAACCTATTATGACTGAGCTTAGCAGCAAATGGACCCAGTAGTATATAACATTACAGTATTGAACCTATGCACTCTACAAATGTTGAAACACCTCGCTCCATTGCCCCTTTTTTCTTCTTCAAAAACTCCAGTCTCATTCACTGCCAATAGACTTCAATAATTGTATGAAAATTGAGAGAACTGCTCGCAGCAACGTTATCACCTATGTCATTGTTATGGATCAAAATCCAAAATCACTGTATGTAACAGGATCACAGTAGTAGAAACAAGTGCGACCTATCTCTACTGCTGGCAATGTTTTAGTACCCCACCCCATCATTTTTGTCTGCCAGTTGCCATTTGCTTTGTTTGGGAAAATCGCTTCCACTCGTTCCGGTGATGTTGGTGCTGACTTTCTGATGCAAATTTTTAAAACAGTATCGTCGTTTTTATCGCCACTATTCTCAACATTTCAGTTTTTTGCGTGCAAGCGTAATAACGTTATGACGCATTTTGAGTCCGACACGTGTGCCGCTATTGCATTTATCGGGTGTGTGGCCGTGTCGGCCAACTGGCTTATGTGCTACCAGAGGTGTAGGACAACTGGCTCAGGGCATGCCCAGGAGCCAGGTAATTTCACCTATGCCTTGTCATGAAACACTAGAAACAGTTATTTACTGATGTGGGCTGGCACCTAGCATGCAGAATCTACATAGTAAACTGGAAAGGCTTGCTAGAACAAGTCTAGCAAACAATGCACTATGTAGTTGGGCAGAGGTGTCAACTTGAAGCTATTGTGGTATGAATACAGTACAGCCCTGGCCATCCATGCGGGTTTCAGGAACCACTCAATACTACACAGACCGACACACACACACACACACACACACACACACACACACACACACACACACACACAAAGAGTACCTACCAATTCTTGGACCCACATTTACAGTACTACTCCTACCAAGCATGCACTGCTCAACCAAGGTGTAGCGTTGCCCCGTGCATACCCGATTGAGTGATAAAAGCAACAGGCTGGGTATGGGCTGATATATAGAGCACATCCTGTCAACCCTGTTTCGAAAGAGTGAGGTCATCCGTTAAAAAAATTTAATATCACCGTAATCTATTCAACTTTAATATGTTTCAGTTGCTGTCCGAAGAAACAGAAAGCAACATGCTCTAATGCTGTGTGAACGTTGGTTGATATGTACATCATGTAGCCCAAGTTCCGGCCATGCAAACATCTATGGTGCTTGAAGTATTGATTGGTCAACTCGTGTCGTGCATTTTCAATCAGAACACAATGGGTTTTTTTACTTTTTTACGTGTACATTTCATTGACAGCGGAATTAGATTTTATGGAGGGGCAAATGCAGGGCAGTCGTGAGCTCTCATTAGTTTGGCCATAGCGTGGGTGCAGGCATATTGCCGGTTGTTACTCTCATGCATGCAGTACAGTGGCACGTACACTATTTATAGAAGATAATAACACGGTTCTACTAGTGCTGGAAGCCATGTGGAGTAACTTTACTATAAGCAGAAGCAGCAGCAGCCAGTCATAATATCCCTATCACGGTTCAAGGGTTGCAGCCTAGTGTTCATTGTCATGACACTTGTATGCAGCTCACCAATAGCCTGGGAAGCAGCTCTGTATAGCCAGGGCTCGTAAATACGTCCCCACACAGGCTGGGGGAATATGCGTAACAGAGGTGTGTGTATGTACATGTGTGTGTGGGGGGGGGGGCATGCGTGCGTGCGTGTGTATGTCAGAGCAGCAGAATCTGAATGCCTGAATTTAGCTCGGTGGAAGGACTATCCGCCCAGTGCACCGTGATCCGGCCAGAACTTGTCTAACTTCCACTAGCAGCGCATTGGCTATAAAAGCCTCGTAGCTGCGGACTCGGTGATATGATTCATGATGTGTTTGTGGAACGTTTTTCCGCTGCATGCAAACACTCAGACTTCTTTCAGGGAGTCAGATCGCTTGTGATCCTTTCTACCCTTGTGCCGTTCGCGGCTCTTCAGCTTCAGGGTCATCTTATGCCTCAGACTGGATTTTCTCTGCTTTTTGTCCACGGACCGATAGACATTGCCTTTGTTTCCATCCTGGCTAGGCTGGTCCCTGAAGCAAACACCTGATGACGTACCGGCCGACAACGGTTTAGTATCACGTGTATCATCTTCTTCAGTACTGCTAGCGCCACCGTGACTGGACGCACTGCTGGCTTCACGGTCACTAAGTGCTATGCTGGTAATGCTCAGCTTGGACGCAGTGAGCGGTATGTCGCTGTAGATTTCACTAGAAAACGGAGCTGCAGCCGAAGCTCTCAGCATGTTGATCTTCTTGCGGACGTCTTTGGGTGCCATGTAGCCAACACTATCAACGGTGTTGTGGCGTTGGCCAATAGCATTCTCGTCGACCGGAGGGGCGTACAGATTTTCGACGTCAAGGTGATCAGCGCCTTCGGTTGCTGCTGTCGCTGCCGCTGCATCGGTACCTCCCTTCTTGGGCACTGCGAGAGTGAGTGCCACGCTGAAGCCATGACCACTCGTCCTAGATTCCACTTTCTCTCTTGTGCTCTGGTAAGCGCCGGTTCCCTGTCGAGGTGCTAGGTAGACTTCTTCCTCAAGACCCAACTCGCCTGCAGATAACGCTATCACATTGCCAGGTTTTTCGGGTGGAGCCTGAGCTGCCCGAGATATTTCGGGCATCTTGGCTGAAGATTTGTCGTCTTTATTCGCTGGCTCAGGTCGGTCGTCTGTCTGAAGGGCAGCTGTGTGTTCGGTGGGAGGACTTATCACATTCAGAATTTCAGACAGGGCATCGTACTCAGCCTGGCTCACCGGTGTGGAGTTATGGCGTGATGCTGCTCGTTTGCCCTCGCCTTTTGCCTTGGTCGCCTCTGCTGCTTCAGCCACGATACACTGCATGTGGTACACCGACGAGGTAGATAGGCTGGATAGTGACTCTCGCCTAGGCTTCGCTGGGGGCATTTTGCGCGTGCAGATGCTGTAGTGGCTAGTGCTCTTTGGGAGGAGCGCACCAGCTGTGTTTTCACCGTCTGTATGCTCTTGTGCTGTGGTATCATACCTACCAGTGTACTCAGACGCCTGGCTGGTGGGCGATACAGTAACTGCAGCACTGTAAAAAGAGTCGTTATCGCTTGGGGTCGGTGTATGCTGCTCACCATCCAGGGACACCGCCGTACTGTAGATGGACATTCCACCGTGACTGCGTAAAGAGTGCCTAGTGGCGACGCCGGCTGCCGCCTTGGTCAGGTTCAGCAGTGTCAAGTTGGCCTTTCCCGGCTGTTGAGTAACACTGCTGTCGGAATCATCATCTTGGATCTGTTGGGCTGACGACGGCGGTACAGCAGCGTAGATGTCGTCCTGCGTATCACCATCATCCTCGCCCATGTATACAGCTGATGTGTAGATCTCTTCCCCGTTCTCGTCAAGCTCTTCGAAAGATGCCATTGGTGCGATGGGCATCTTTGCTGCCGGCCTCTCGACAGCGTAGGAGACGAGTGGAAGATCGACGCTTCCCCGTCTGTTTATCTTGTAGCGATACGCCACAAAGCCGGCAAGCGCAAGTACCGCAGCAACACCTGCTGGGATAGACGATGCCAGGGCTACTGTGCTGTCGGAACCTGTGGAGAAGCAGAGCAGCAGCAAAAACGTTATGACAGTGATTTGCCAAGGAGGTGAGCTTGTGGGAGGCCTAAGTCATGGACTAGCGTATTCCAATGTATATTCATGTCCTGTATTTTCTTGCTTCAAGGAAGCGCCGTGAACCCACTGACTGCTGTCCACCCAACCGTGACAGCAAAAGAACTACTAACTGGGGTAACTCAGTCTCCACCAGTCACGTCACACCAACACCAATGTTACTGACTACTAAGAGTACCGTATTTTCCCGTTATAAGTTGACCTTTTTGGGACTAAAAACCGAGTTGAAAAACTGTATCCCTTTAAAAGGGATAGTCGACTTACAACTGGGGTTCTACCACTATAATTATCATATTGATGTTGAACCGGTAAATCGAGGCCCCGAGTATTAGGGGTCGAATTATAACTGTTGTACATGTGGTCGCGCTTGTAGCTCTGTGTCGTACATGTGGCTGCGCTTGTGTCTCTTTTGTCGTACACGTGGCTGCGTATGTGTCTCTGTGTCGTACATGCTGCTGACCCGTGGTACACGCCGCTGCGCTGTCTTGGAATGCTTTGTACATGCCGCTGCACCGTCTTCTGTCCCCTCTGTATGCATTATTTCTCCTCTCGTCCCCGTTGCATACACATTTTCTCGTCTTGTCTCCGTTGTATTTGTCTGGTTGCCGTCTTGTGTCCGTCGTATTTCCCCGTCGTTCGTCTTTGTCTCCCGTCCTGTTCAGGCCTTGTTGTACTTTGCACAGGCACCTCTTTAGTATCCCTCACCCCACTTTTTCCCCTCTTTTCTCCACGTCCCCATAATATATTCTCTTGTCCGTTTTGTTGGAGCGCAGTTCTCCCGTCACCTTACTGAAAGCAAGTTAGAGAAAACGCTCTCTCCCAGTGTGCACGAGTCTTTTGTTGTTGTGTGGAGTGGCGAGGAGAGCAACAGTTCGTCCGAATAAATTGACGACATTTGGCGCCCAACGTGGGGCTCGAACCCATGACCCTGAGATTAAGAGTCTCATGCTCTACCGACTGATAAGGTCAACGTAAAAACGGAGAAATATGGTATGTCAATTCACGGGTCCATGAATAATTATTTATTGTTATTATTACGCACACACTCATGGCCAAGGCCAATCGAGGAGGAGGTGAGGGCGATTATAGCCAGCCATGGCAAAAGAAAGAAGAAAAAGAAAAGAAAAAGACAAAACAAGTGCAAATCAGAACAACAACAACAACAATAAAAGAAGAGATTGGGCTGCAAATCAAGCATAACAAAATAGTCACGGTATCATGATTGCCTGGCACGACGGGTGCATGTGCTTAACTGATTGTACTTACTTGCATCTTGAAACGCCTCCTCCGGCACAGTGCCATTCTGCAGTGTAGCTCCTTCACTGGCAGTGACCGGCGTCGTGTCGCTGCTGCCATCGGTCGACATCACCATTGCTGGTGTTGCCGTTGCCGTTCCACTCGATACTGCATTAGTGTTGGAGCAGGACCATGTACATGTATGAACAGATAAATGACAAGGCGGTGGAGTATAGTATTGGCATTACTGGTGTTGTAAAAATATCAAAATGTCCGTTGTTTCCATGTCTGCACTAGCCACTTACGTGACTATATCTCTGTCATGACTGCATCGGGGGAAAATCATACTCAAAACGTACTTTGGTTTTTGACAGTGTTTAATCAGCAGCTATCTGTCATATGTACCAGCACCTACTCCTGGCATGGCAGGATCCCTCCACTGATGACAGGGAGGACCCTGTCCGGTTAGTTAGGCATTCTGTGCAAGAAACTTCTTTTGGCTTGGTGGTGACCAGGATTGTAGCCAAAGTGACAGAGCGTGGAGCTGCACTCCCCCCCCCCCCTTTTCCTAAATTGAAAACACCACTGTGCAACAATGCGTGGTTTTAAACCTATCACCATGCCTGTATTTCTATGCACTATGCATTGCATGTATGTGCTGAAGTAGGCACTAAATTGTCACACACAGTAGACCTTGGTGCTGGTTCATTGCTGCAGTGTGAGTAAAAGTGGCCACAGGCTTGTGTTGTCTACATTGTACTTCATGTGCATGTATTCCGGAGCAATGCCGACTCATACAACTGAGCAAACATTCCCAGGAACCTCTCTTCCATTTCACTCCTGCTTAGCAGCTATAACTGTTTCCTGTCATACCAGGGTTTACTGTTGGCTCTGCAACACAACATGTGTTAGTCATAGTTCTATGAAAGTGTGACTCAGGGGTGAATCCACTGGCCTGGAATTTGGCAGAAGGGGGCTAGTGCTCAGCTCAGTAGTACACTCATGTCTCTGTTATCCGGACCTTGAAGTTACAGGCACCTCGCTCTAGAGGGCATCCCGTGGGTTAGTTTTACTGGAAATAGTTCTACTCGTGTGCCAATATTTGTGGAAAATGTGATGCAATATGCCATATCTCTGGCCCTTCCCCATCAAAATGTACACGTATGTGATTCAGAGTTGCGGACACTTCAAACCTATGGGCAGTGCCCTGTCCCGCACCGTCGAGATAAGAGAGATATGAGTGCATGTGGTGGGCGGAACATTGAACATGATAGTTTTGGTCAGCATAGCCATTATACCGTACTTCCCCACATATAAGCGCATGCGCTTATAAGCGAAAATTTGCTGCAAAAAAGATCTTTGGCTGTGTAAACATGTTCGGGTAGAAGCCCATGCGCTTATATGCGCAATATATGCGCAATACAGGTTTGTCTGTGTCCTAAACAATGGTGTCATCACACTACTTTAATAGTGGTATATTTCGCTCCCGCCTTTTCACCAATAGTGTTCACATATAAGCACATGCGCTTATAATTGAGGGGTGCGCTTATATCCGGACATAAGCACATGCGCTTATATGTGCGGAAGTACGGTATGCAACACTGAGCTCACCATTTTGTCCACTTGTATTCGTAGCAGTGGTGGTAACAGTGTCATTAGTGGTACTAGCAGTGGTGGTAACCACGGTACCATTGTCATTAGTGGTACTAGCAGTGGTGGTAACCACGGTACCATTGTCATTAGTGGTACTAGCAGTGGTGGTAACCACGGTAACATTGTCATTAGTGGTACTAGCGGCAGTCACCCGGGTAGCTATAGTGGTTGTTGCCCGCATACTAGAGCTGGTATTGGTCGTAGGCTGTGTAGCTGTGGTGCTTTCAGAGCTATTCAGTATACCTGTAGTAATAGATCAGTATGCACACCCGAACACTGAGTGTGGGGGTATCAGAACTTTTGATTGAACTCATGGCTAGCTTCCAACTACATTATAGGTAGAGACAAGCCAGACACAAGGAGTAATGCACACGGAGTGACAAGGCTTCATTGGACCCTCTTCACTAACAGTGACTCACAAGTTAGTTACTGCTCAGGAATGCAGAGAAGCAAGATTGCACGAAGTGACTCAGAAGACTAGGTAGAAAAGAGAAGAACTCACACCGCACCGACTCAGAAACTGGAAGACAGATGCATACGAGTATAAGCGAAAGAAGTTCAGCTACAGCTCTAGCTACCAAATTATTATGAATGGCAGCTCCATAATTATCAGTAGCCGCATTGTCTGGAAAAATGAATGCAGATACAATCTAATGGAACATAAGAGTTTAAAAAGGTACATTGTGGAATAGATCATTGTTGTTTTTGGTTGGGAAACGGCCTATCTACTGAAGCGCATAACTCTACAGATACACCTTCCTTCCTTCTACCACTGCCATACAGATACCATTGGACCATTGGACGCCCATCGCCGGAGGCGATGATAGCGATGCGACAGCAGAAGCCATAGCAACTTGTGCTGGGATTGCACCATTCAACAGCTTGCAAGGCTGAAGAATTGGCCGCCACTATTCAGCCTGGTCTACACCACACAGCTATGAAGTGGCTTTTTCTGGCCAGTGAATCCCAATACAGATACACACACACACACACACACACACACACACACACACACACACACACACACACACACACACACACACACACACACACACACACACACACATACACACAGCTAGACAGAGAAGAACGATTCATCAGCCAGCTTGGTAGCGTATGCATGGTAATATTGACCTGGCTGTCTGCAAGAACAGGGTTAGCACGACTAGAAGTAAAAGCAACATCCAGGGCCTTACCATCGTCGAAGATTGCCACAAAGAAAAAGCTTGACGTAAATGAAAAGCCATCTACCACTGCCCTGATCCGAAACGCCGTGCCCTCTATGAGATCCAGTCCATTTACAATTGATATATCAAATGTCATGAGTGTATTGGTGCCCATTGGAGCAACATCAACAGTAGCCTCGACCATTGTTGTGTTGATAGTTTGAGACGGTGGTACATCAAAGAGTGTACCAAAAGCACTACCATTCTCATAAGAATATTCCTGGACAACAAACGCAAGCACAGAAGAAAGGTGCACCTCCCGCCAGCAACAGATCTCATACACTGCCCACGTTCTCTAAGTCTTTGTTCCATGTACTAGTATACACAGTCATACAGAATGTCACATTGGCGTTGCTTGTTGCCCAACATGTGTGCAGTTTGCAGCAAGAAAAGGGTGTGTGTAAAGAAGAGGATGTGTGCAGTCTGGGACAAGAAGAAGGTGTGTGAAGTTTGTCTCTGCTTGCGCAAGTTGGCAGTCATAATGTTACCTACACTACCTAGACTATACCAGCATCCCCAATGAATAGCGACACTTTCATCACTGTTTTTTTTCTCTTTCCGCCTACTGATCTGGCTGTATGAGGTGACTAAGGAACTGGTGCAAACTGTCACTTGTTCCTGCTTAGAGGTGTTGGTTTTCCTGTATCAGGTTCTCGAATCCTTTGCCCTTCATAAGGTTACCACAACTTGTTGCACTTCACATACGACGCACACCCACACCCACAATACACACATAGTGCGCACACACACGCACACACACACACACACACACACACACACACACACACACACACACACGCTTGCACCCCCCCGCCCCCCGCCCCCCCCCCCCCCCACGCACACATGCAATGCACAATAATATTAATGAGTCGTACCTGTCTCAACCAGCCACTTCCTGTCGTATTGTGCATCTGACCGACAATGTCTGCATTGCCCTTGAAGTTCACAGCTCCCAATCCATCTGCACTGACTTGCAGAGCTGTTGTAGGCTGCAGTGTAACATTCGGCATTGGAGAAGCCGTTGTCGGGTCTGCTGGGTCGGTTACGACTTGACGTCGGTGAATTCGCCTGACTCGTTGGCGTTGGCTTGCTGCTTCGTTCCCTGTATCACACATTTGGCGAAAGGCATGCTTGCAAATGCGAGTACAGGTCTTAGCGTCTACCATCGTTAGTACGACATCGGTTACAAGACAAAACCTCATTAGTACTTAGTAGCAAGGGCGTCACACACGTTACGACCAGTATGACCATGGTCATACCACTCTTCATCCAGGATGGTCCGCCCAGAGCGTGTGTGAAGCGCTAGAACGTGCCCTGTTGCTGAAAAGTCCAATTTTTCCCGGGGGGGGGGGGGGGGGGGGGGGACACCCACCCCGCACCCCCGGTCGCCCCACTCTCCACTGCCCTGTGACACCCCTGAGTAGATAACAATCCAAAGTCCCCCCGATGCCTGAAATGAGTACATGCAAGTCGGGATGGTACGATCGTAGATGCTACTCCTTTTTGTCTCATCTCCGGGGTTGTCTACTAACGCGGGTAGACCTGTACAAAGCGCTAGCTAGAGCCTAGGTGTTTATGGCTCGTAGATTTACTACTCGGACTGCAATCATGGTCAGGGATATACGTGAAGGCCAGAGGAGGCACTTGCCAGATCCAATAGGGTATGCACTAGCCCAGGCACACATTCCTGGAAGTCAGACTACGCAAACCAAGACCTCTTCTCATACCGTGACCATGTGTGTGTGTGTGTGTGTGTGTGTGTGTGTGTGTGTGTGTGTGTGTGTGTGTGTGTGTGTGTGTGTGTGTGTTTGTGTGTGTGTGTGTGTGTGTGTGTGTGTTTGTGTGTGTTGAGTCATCTTTCCAAGATTCCTTTTGAGTCTCTCTCCCCTCTCCCGGGGAGACCCACGTGACCAGTTTTGGCAGTGAGCAACAAGTACAAGTACATTACAAGTGTGTGTGTGTGTGTGTGTGTGTGTGTGTGTGTGTGTGTGTGTGTGTGTGTGTGTGTTTGGTATGTAAACGGACATTCAAGAGTAAATCTGGACTCGGACGACACAAATGTCCTGCTGATCGCCAGCTGCCTGTAGCGGAACAGCCGGACGCACGTCAATGTCATGCCTGCCTTCGGTGGTTCCGAAGTGCCGGTGGACTTGCTGTGCACAAGTGCACGGCACCCGCCCCGGCATCACCGCCCACACCCCAGCGCATACCAATCACCAGCCATCCGTGTTGCAACCAGCACTGCGCTACCTGTGATCGCTGTTTTGAATCTGCTCCTGGCTTTCGGCGACACAATTGCAATCGTGGACGGCGTCGTGGCGGAGCGGCTTCCTAGTGGCAGTGCTGACTTCTCTCAAACTCTCTCTTCTACTCTCCCCAGTGTCTCAGGGGCGGCGTGGCCAAGCATTTGGCAGCTGTATACCAGGCCAGATGTGTGTGTATGTGTGTGTGTGTGTGTGTGTGTGTGTGTGTGTATCTGTCTGTGTGTGTGCGTGCATATTTCCCGGTTGCATGGTTCGTAATGCACGTGCATGTTCTCCACCTTGCACCCGACGAGACAAGCCTCATGTTTGTCTAACACATGCACAGCTGTTTAGTTGAGCCCTGGAGACTCATATCACTAACCCCGGGTTGTGCCCAACATGCTAGTGTTGAGTATGCCGGTGGAGCTCCGCTTACCTGGTTGTGTGTGTCTTTGGTGTTCTGAACGAGACCTGCAGGATATAGTACATGCAGTTACACACTGTCAACTGCTGCCGCCATCGAATCCTGAAAAACATTGCAGGCCCCGACCTTGAGCCCTGACCATATCACCCTGCATTGAGCATGCATGGCAGTCTTACTTGTACTGCAATCATTCAAGCAGTACATCCTAATATCAGAATAGATGATGATTCACATACAGCTGCTGTATGTACTTGCTCTAGTCTATGTATCCATCCGCTTCTGGATGTTTTGTATGCAGAGTTTTACACACATGCTCCACGAAATGAGGTCACATGCATGTTTCAAGTGTTACGGACACCAGCATTGCCCAAGGTCCTATGGCTATGGTCCACGGTTATGGACAGGACACCAGCATTGCCCAAGGTCCTATGGCTATGGTTCCACTCACCTTTGTTCTAATGCCAACCCTCTCTGGCTTTGTGGCCTGGTTGAATGCTTTTGGTTGAACAAATCTGATCTCTTTGCGAGACGAGAGCTCCATGTGCGTGGCCCATATTTACCCCCACTAGAAACTAGAAGCATAGAAATGAGAAGGAGGCAACAAACTACTAGCGATATCCTCACGCCTATGCCAGTAATTGGGTCTAAGCTTGAAGGCATTGTCCGAGATGATCAGTTGGTACTACAAAGCTGAATCTACAAGGGGATGTCGTGTGTGTGTGGGGGGGGGGGGGGGGGGAGAAACGGGAAGGTCTGGAAGAAAATAGAAATCGCTCCCAGAGATAGGTTCTACGACTGACTTCTGGTGGAGGCTGGCGTGATATGTTGCTTCCGTAAGCCATTGGCAGGCATTGGACTGGTTGGTCCATTACTTATCTAAAAGCTTCGCCAACCAGGCTAAATCCTTGGCACGCGTTTTTAGCCGACTTAGGGTCGGGAGTTACTGAATAGCATACAATGTCTTCAGGTCAGAGTCCAAAGGTCAAGAGGTATTCCTGGCCTGCACTATACACCAGGGAGTCGTAAAATTACGACTCCCTGCTATACACTGTGACTGCACTGTACTCGCACCTCGTATAACACACACACACACCCATTTTTTAGTACTCTACGAGTACAAAATCTAATCGCTCGCACGGCTGTTCCGAGTGCGACATTTATCAATATGGCGGCGTACCGTAGCAACCCGCATCGCAACAGCTCGCGTACGCACAGCGTGCCGACGCGTGCAGTCTTTCTGCACATTTTTCAAATTTATCGAAGAAAGTTTTTGTTTTTGGGGCGATGGATTCGTGCCTTGGAGAGGTCGTATGAGGCCATGCTGGAGGAGAATAAGTCTACCAAGACCTGGAAGCCTCCCTTCGGCGAAGTACTGAAGTTAGTATGTCCTGGAGTCAATACAGGAATTGTTTTCAAGACGATGCAGTGTAATAAATTCTAGTAATGTAGCCGGTGCATCATGCAATTAGTTGTGTTTGAAACTTCGGAACAAGAAGTGGGCACGTTTGCTTGACTCACTACCATCATGACGTGAACAGATGGAACCCCACTGCTCTTATTCTAGAACATGTTCTCCCCTGAGGACAGCTTACAGCCAGATTTCCGTGCATAAGAAAAGAGCACAAATACATCGTTAGACTGATTGCAATTCATCTTGGAGAAGGAGAAGGATAGAATTCGATCGTCTGCTACACTCTCAACGCAAAGTTGATGACATAGCAGCTACATGTACGTCTCTTCATGCGTGTGCTCTTCACCTTGGGATCAATGTGAGGATTTTAGGATTGCTCGAAATCAGATTCTGTATACTATTGGACAGCAGTTTCTGCATTGCACATGCTCCACAGTGCTCATCGGCAAGGATGTTGAATTTGCGTGTAACCCTTCACCACCCTACTCTCCATACTGTTCCAGATCAGCACTAACTGAACTTTGAAGTGTTTCATTTCCAGTAGAATGTGCTCCTCCAATAAGTGCGGCATTGGAGGCGGTGATATTTATTGCCACAGTTGCACTGCTGATCTTCGTCATGAAAGAAGCAATGGATGATGATCAAGTCAACCAGTGGGCTTGCAGTGATAAGCAACGTACCACAATACATCATCAGGTGTCATAGCATGGCGGAGTTGGTTGCCCGCAACGCTTCCAGTTGGAGACTGGAAGATATCCTCTATTTGCGCTCCAACTTTTAAAGCACATGGACCTGCTGTAGGTCTTATTCTTCTATCAATGCTTGTTTCAAGTTACAGAATTATTTAGCTTCTTACAGCTTTGATTTAATTCGCCGTACTGTAATTAATGTGAAGAAGAGGTTGATGCGACTTCGGCGATACTTGGGGAATTGTGTGTTGCTCCCTACGTGGGGGCTTGCGCTATTTCTGCCGACTTGAATTCTCACTTGACCGACTTGTAATTTTAAAATGAATTCATGGACATCTGTCAATTCAGCAGGTGAACTGCATTGCCATCAAGCCCTGAGCCAGCTCCATAGGAATGGCACGGTCATGAAGATGCGTGATGCTGTGTAACCTTATTCGCATCAGAATAATAACCTGGTTGTTTCGGCTTCACACTCCGGTAGCAACAGATACTCTGCATAATGCAGCTTGTACAGTTGTCCTCACTAAAGAAGAAAGCAGTTTAGGAGGGACTCTAGTGAGGAGTGTGCGAGGATAGCCTATTAGTGTTCTACATAATCATTTGCATATTGAACATGTTACATGTAATTATCATGAACGCCGAGAGTGGTAAAACCGGGTACGGCCATCACCAGCGGCTGCGGCCCTGTCCTGAGTGCCATGCTGTGCTTAGTGCTGATGTAGTGCAAGATATATAAGCTGCATCATGGTTGTCGTTTGTTGTTGTTCAATTACTTGAAGTATTTCAGTATGGTCTTTACGCATGCAAGTGTGTGCTTTTCAACAGGATCGTCGAAAGACTACATTGTGCGTGGCCTAAATCTGCAGTAACACTAGTAATACAAAAAACCCATGCCTATGTGTGTACACGTAAGGCCTCGGACAGATGGGGAATCTTGCATCTCTGACATTTAAAATCTCTACACAATGTCCTGTTTCTACATACATTTCGAAAGCATGAATTTCAAAAAATGTTCATTGGATGCATGTCTGATTCGTACTTGCTAACATCCAGAACGAAGCATGAACGGATCCCTCCTATGGCGGACTAAACCGGGGTCTTCGTTAGACATTGAGGCAGGAGAACACACCTCCACTGGTCCTGCATATATCAGCAAACACTTGCAATTGACGTCCAAGTACGCCACGCAAATCGACTTGGGCACGAAAACGATAATCTGGGCGGCAATGAAAATATAACTACGACGTAGGAAAAGGACAAACCTTTCAATGAAAATTGGAGTGAAGACTGTCAAAAATTCTGCACCCCTTAGGAGGAAGCCTCGAATGTGAGCCAATTCTGATAAACGCCAATGGCCGGCACGACGAGGAAGAACGAAACGAAAAAGATCGTAACTTCACTTTCCCATTGCGCATTTTGACGATCAAAATATCTGCTTGCGCAGCTTGAAGGCAGGAAGGTGAATTCGCTTAGACTTCGCGAATCCAGCGTAGAAAACGGCTGGAATCGACAGAAACATAGGCGAAACCTTGCCGAATATTTCCAGAGATTTGAAAAAGGCAGCGAGGTCGCGTACGACAGCATCGTGGATCACTGGGGCGACGGGAAAATGTCGTACCGTACATAATAGTGTTGAAACGAATAATCGAATAATCGAATAATGCGCTGATGTTCATCGTTCAGCTGACTGGGGTCAACAATACCGAGACCACCGAGACGACACGGAAGGTCAAGCACAGCGCGGATCACCGAATTCGGTGGGTGACGCCCTGTCAATGCCGGAATGAAATCATTGCGGATCACATCCTCAAGTGGCTGTAGCAGATCTGCTGCTCCTGGTACAGTACGAACCAGAAATGACCATTTGTGCTTGAGGCCTTGGCTAAATGCAGTGTAGGCGGCTTGCGGCTGGCTAAGTGCATAGGTTGCGAGGCGCTTGACTTCTTTGCACCATTGCTCTGCCTTTTGAGCGACGTACTGATTGCAATACTGCTCTGTGCCCAGGACAGCTCCAAGATGTCGGTGACCGTCCGCGGTTACGCGAACTTCAGTGTCGGCGAACACTTCCCGCGCGATGTTGAGGAACTGTGGTTTGACGAGTAACACAGACTTTGCGGCATTCGTATAGTAGCCGTAAGCTGGACCACGCGTTTCCAGGATAGACCACCATTCTCTGAGACGAATTATCTTACTTGCAGCTGTAGAATCATCAGCGTATATTCGATGAACATCAGCGCTCTCTGTCCATCACCCATCCACTCATTGATAACATCATCCAACAGCAGTCATCCATGGAAGGCATATCAGGGCGGATGCGGGTACTGAAGGCAACAGCTAGGACAGCCGCTGGAAAGAAGGAGAAGGACCATGTCGTCACCCTGATGGCCCAACTCGAGCCAGACCTGCAACGCACCCTACAGCTTGCCTCGGAGAAAGGCGCCTCAAGTTGGCTGACATGTCGGCCATTGCGAAGGCATGGCTTCACCCTGCACAAGGGCGCCTTCCGCGATGCCATATGCCTCAGGTATGGATGGGATCCTGATCGCTTACCTGCAACATGCGCGTGTGGAAAGCCATTCTCGACCACCCATGCCATGTCATGTGCCATCGGTGGCTATCCCTCGTTACGGCACAACGAGGTCCGAGACCTTAGGCCCCGGTCACACCGAAACAAGCCACTTTGGGCTTGTTATCGCTGGCGCTCAGCTGGCTTGCGTGATCCCTGTGACGCGGTCACACCAGACCTTGAGTGCAAAGCTTGAATGGCTTGTTTTTCATACCCGCCAAATTTTGAATATCTCGAAACACACCAATGTTTGCAAGAAACTGGAGAGCAGAACGTTCGCGATCTAAAACTGTACTTGTTCTAGTGTTCAGTTTTGATGAAGAAGCAAAAGAAGCCCGGATTCTGAATTGCGAAGTCGTGCTCTTTTTATTTGTTGGGTGTGCATGGACGCGATGGTTCGGGTGGTGTTTCCTGATGTCGAGCTTTCTGCCCCGCCGGTTGCCGTTATTGAACTCAGTTGCAATCCACTCTCTTCTTCGTACCCGGCTTTCTTCATGAATTCGGTCGTGAGTGTGGTGCCTTGTCTTGGCCTCAAACCACAGCTCCAACAATCCACGCAGCAGTCTAGAGGCACAGCGGCAGAAATCCATGGTCATCGGACAAAATCCAAATCAAACTGAATACAGTGAAGTTGGGGTAGACAGACTCACGGTCAAAACCAAAGGCACAGGGATAGCACGGTTCCACGGACACAAGAAAGAACATCAATATCAGTTCATCATGTCAACTAGCTACATGGTGTGCTCCGGAGCTCCAAGCGCACTCAAATTATTTTTTGAATTTCGGCTTTCAGCCGCTTGTACAAGCTGTGGCTGAAACAAGCCGGAAAAAAACGGCTGAGAGTCAGCCACGGCTGAAAGTCGCTTGTAGGACATTTTTCAGCCATTTCCATGGTAATAGTGACGTAAACAAGCGCTTGTTTCGGCTGAACGGCTGAATCGAGCTCGGTGTGACCGCGGCCTAACAGCAGCACTGCTACGCGACGTCGCACATGATGTTCATGTTGAGCCGCACCTCCAGCCTGTGACCGGTGAGCGCTTTCCGCTGCGGTCCACCATCACGGCAGAACAAGCTCGGCTGGATGTAGTTGTCAGCGGTCTACACGGTGGACGGTTTGAGAGGACCTTTCTAGATGTCCGGGTTTTCAACCCATTTGCCCCCTCAAATCGGAAACCAACGATCGCTGG